ATGGAGCACTTAACTTAGCAAATCGCCTTTTAAGTGAATTTCAACTTTCCTGAGCTACGAAGCAAAGCACCTGTCACGGCCCATCTTTCACCAAAGCAGAGAAATAAAGCCGTAAAGTAAACATCTGCTCCATCGATGAATCAATCCAGTGTGGGTGATTACAATCATCCACAAGTGCCCCATTCCTCAACGCCCATCGCCGGTATTCCCAAACAACATCCCAGCCACAATTAAATAATCAATCAAACTAATCAATGGCCCGATCAACAGCTGAGTAGACATCTTAAGTCATCCTTTACAGCGTGCATGTGTCCGTGTGCTGTAGCGTATACAGAGAGAGAGAGAGAGAGAGAGAGAGAGAGGAGGCAGAGTGGGCTTTGGCTCTGAAGTGGCTGGCTTCTCTAAACACTAATCGGATCAGATAGGAGGCGAGCCTTAGAGGGATGTGTTTTTCCAGACGGTTCTGTGCTGGTGTGCATGATGGAGGAGGAGCACCACTTGGCCTTGGTCTCCAGAGTGGATTCCACCAGAGAGTGTAGCATTCAAGGACAGAGAGGGAGTACGCCAGTCCACTTTATGGTCTCATTCTTGGGGCTTTTTCAGAATTGGAAACGCGTGACTGATGACCTGGGACTTGACTCAGACTAATGAGTGGCTGGGGGTACAGGAGGCATTTTATTCTATTATTTTTAAAGGGACAATGTAAATGTATTTAAAACTTTGAAACATATATTTAAATGTATACACCATGATGTCCCCATCTGCTTTAAGTTAGGCTACGTTTACACATAGCTGGGTATATTGAGAAACGAATATTTCCCTCCCTCCGTTTTCCAAAATAACATCGTACAGCATCGTTTTCAAAAAAGTTTTCGTTTACATCAACCCACATAAATACGCCACTGAGCACATTATAATAATTAGATTCAAACCTATAACATTTATTTCATTACAGTTGTAAGTATTACTCACAAATACCTTGAAAAACATGCATTACTGAGCGGGCTCGCCTCTCCACAGATCTGTTAAAGAAGTGGCAAAATCACTGACCTCCGAGACTCATTGTCATGGATATGATACATCAGCTGTGTGTGCAAATGCAAACACGTGAAAAGTGTTTGCACCAGAAGAAATGCAACTGCTGCTCTGAATGATTCATCATCATCATCACAGCAAAAGGGAAACATTGGTCGCACTTTTGTCGCGTCAGCTCCAAAAACTCCATTTATCTCACCGTAGTTTTCCAGAATCTCTACTCTAGCTGAAGTTTTTAGAAGCGAATTCGCCGTTTGCATGTAAAAGATGGGTACAAATGAAGGGAAATGTCTCCGTTTTAAAAAAATACCCATGTACATGTAAAAGGGGCCTTATCTGGATGACTATTAAACCATGAAAGGATAAAGTGGGTATTTAAAGGAACTGCATGTACAATTTTAATTTGAAATTTCATAAACTTGATCTGTGTCCTCAAATACAAGGTAAATATATTCAAATTATACAAATGTTCAAAATTCATCTTTTACTGAAGACAAGACAAATATCCAATCAGAAAACAGAATGAGCCTCATGAGACTCTTATTTGGGTTGCCAGTTTCGGTGCTGATATCCAGCTGGTTTAAACCTAAAAGAGCTCTCTGATCTGAATCCTCACTACCTAAACGCCAGTACCTGCAGCCAATCATTAATCAGTGAAACCTCTGGAGGTCCTGAGCTTCACATGAGCCACGGCTGGTCCATAAACTGAGAAAAACATGTACTATGTGTCCTCTACAAGCAGGTTTGAGCACTGGCAGCCTAGTTTATTTGTGATTGTAATACCTTTTTTAAAACAAAAACAAAAGCACATTACTTACTCCTCTAACTTGTACGCACAGTTCTCTCCCTTTGGCACATCGCTGCATTGGCATGCATTTTTTGGGGGGCACAGATAACACACACTCATCCCAAAATACAATTCTTTTTTCTTTTCAAGTGATATATAATGCTTTAGAGTTAGATGCAGATAGTCCATAGTGCTTTGATAACGTCACAAAGTGCTGCTTTTAGAGAAAAATATATATAGGGAAAATAAATGACTCATCTCTGACTAAGTCGGTATCCAGTTTTAAAACATGAGCTCTTAAATAATGTTTTTGGGTATAAAGCTGCCTTAAAACTATGAGTATTTCTGAGAGGCGTAATTGCGTGAGTAAGAGAATGGGAGGAGGGTTGGGGGGAGTGACGGAGACAGCACAATGAAAGTATCAGATAACCTGTAATCTGGTGTTTTGGTCCCTCCCAATTAAATAAACAAGAAGAAAGAAAACTCTTCTTAAATGAAACTCAGGAACAGATAATATATGATAATAACTGTATCATAGGCTACATTTATATGATGACGGTCTGAACAGAAGACGCAAAAGTAGCGTTGCATCTTCACTTTTTATTCCGTGTTTAGATGAGCATTTTTGGAAGGAAATCTGTGTCTGTACAGTGATGCAAAAGTGTGTGGAATTCGATTGGGTGTGCATGCCAGGCGGCTAAGTGGTGCTGTGATACACTATCACGTTACGTACGCTACGTGAGGAGATCTGACCAGAGTTTTGCATCTTGGGCAGTGTAGACGGAAAAGCCAGGGCAGAGCATATTCAACCTTTCCACTCTGGAGGGTGGTGTCAGATTTTTGTGTTTTTAAGCACTAAACAAAAGGCACTTCCAATAAAATATTTTAGTGTATCGTTTTATCGTTTGTCACCCATGAGCGTTTTTGTGTAAACAGGCCCAATAATTTTACTGCAGTATTGTCCGGTGTTTTTTTATACAGTGAGATGCTTTTATGTTACAGAGAAATGTATCCTATGAAAGACTAATAAAATAACTTAAATGAGGTGAAAATGTAACCTAGTATTTAATGCCTTGGACTACTAAGACACAAACAGACTAGTCTAACATGACTTGGAACTGGACTTTAACTTGTACAATGAAGGCTTAATTGGATTAAAGAAATAGTGACTTGACTTTTACACTGTCCCTCGTCTGTGATTAGTTTGACCCAGCACCCAAACAGCTGCTTCTCTTATGGGACACAGAGGCCACAATATGGTGAAGGCTGATCCTCTCTGCTTCCTCACACACACACACAAACACACACCATACACACACACACACACACACACACCATACACACATACACACACACACACACACTCACACACACACACTGACACAGGGGACAGCGCTGTGTAAACTCAAGGACAAACGCTGGAGTGAAATTATGACTTCGATTCTTCTGCTCATTGACTAAAGACGGATTCAATTAAAGTCCAGCGAAGGTCGTGAGCCAGTACAATGTAAGCAACACTGACACCTGGGCAAACACAACTTCTCTCAGCTTGGGCTTATTGTTTAAAGGTGAACTAACTAACTTTTATGATGCCTTTCTACATGGAAATATTGAGATATTACTTTGAGTACAGAATGTTACCCAGTATAGCATTAAAAATATATGATTTTCCATGGAGACATGCAGGTCAAGTTAGAGGTCGGATCTGTTGAGAGCTGACCCCGCTCACAGTGAAAATGCATGTTTGGAAAGATATTTTTGAGAAATAAAAATGTGGAATTGAATGAATAAAGATAGGTAAGTGTAAAGACATACTGTGGAACATTCTAACATCTATATCCTATTAGAAAAGTTACATAGTGCACAATTTATCTAAAGGTTAATTAATTTTTACACTGGTTTCCATGTGTTTTCTTTGATTGGGACAAAAAAAAGTAATATAGTTATATTATATTTATAAAGTTAATAAGTTATAGAGGTATATTACTATTTGACAAAACCACTGAACATTCATATTCAGTAAAAAACTAAAATATGTAAGTTAATGTCAAACTACCATGCATCTCATACATCTCAGATCATGTTTGTACAGGTCTCAACGCAGACGTGGAATGTACTCAGTTAAATTTTTTAAGACACTTTCAAAAAAACATTTCTGAGTAGTTTTCAGATACTATACTTCTACTTCTACTCGAGTACTCTTATTTAGGCTTCATATGTTTTTATTCACGTGTAAACAGATATAGATATGTCATCCAAACAACACATGTACACACACCTTTTTTTCATTTTTATGCAGCTAAAACAACTTATAAAGTTAACTAACAAAAACAAATCACTCAAGAAATACGAGTAGCATCATACAATATAATAAGAACAGAATTATAATAAATATACTACTATTATTAATAACAACAAATAATAAAATAATAATCATGAGTACTTCCCACAGATTAAGTCTTCAAGTGACAATAGATTTATGATTTAAACCTCAGATGCCTCAGATGATTTCTTTTTTCTAAATTTTCTAGTCTGTCCTTTGCAAATTCCAAATTTTCTCTGTGATTTACTGTTTTGTTATGACTTTTTGTTTACATTAGCATTATCAAAGTTACTCCAGTTGTGTAGTTTCCCCAAATACTACTTTCTCTTCCTCATTTCACAACATAATTATTTTGAACTACTTTCGGTATCCACTGGTTTCATAATGACAAAAATTTAACTGTTGCCAAAGCAATTAACATCTTAAAATAAAACATTATATTTCCTGAATTGTGAAAAGTCCTCGAAAGCTGAAACCCACATTACCCACCTGTTTTAACTATAGTGTTGACATTTTTGCACATACAAAAGGCATTCTTTCTTTTTATTGTTTGCCACAGACATTACATGACATAACAACGCAGGTGCTGTTGGACACCTTGTGAAATTTGCGTTGCATTTGCGAGTTAAAAATAGCTTTGTGTGGAAAACGGTGGGCAGATAAGGATCACAAGGAGGACATGAGGGGAGGGGAGGGGGGCGACGAAGGTGAGGAGGTAAAGAAGTACAGTGGGCGGGGTCAAAAGACTGATAAGGACGCAACTGTGGCCAAGGAATTTGTCGAAGGAACTGAAAGCAACAAGCGCACCGAGAGGGAGGAGCGATGGGTTCCACATGAGAAAACTCCACAGCCACGCTATAAAGCTCACAGCGCAAAGGGGCAAAGGAGCAGGTAGAGGGAGTAGGAAGAGGATATTTCAAGCGCGCCTTTTAGGAAGCAAAACAGAAAGTTGGAAAGAGCGTCTCAGGCAACCGAAAGTAGTCACGGTGCTTACAAGAGCTGCAGGAGATTAAATAAGGAAGAGAAAGTGGAAAGTTGGGAAACAAGTGAACAGTTAAGAGAAGGCGGAGTGTGTCTTATTTGTGTATCTGTGTGTGTATGTGTGTGTGTGGACGACTGACACAGGCAAAACAAAGAAAAAAGGAGGTCACAAGTCTAGCCTGTCTAAACCTGTCTCCATGCTATGCAACTAAAGCAGTGCTAGAGACACAAAGACACAGAGACACAGAGACAGAGCTGGCCACTTCACTTCAGCACCATGTTGATGAAAGAGTACAGAATATGCATGCCTCTCACAGTGGAGGAGGTGAGTACCACATGTTTACCTTTTTATCAAGGCTTGTCACAACTGTTTGCTGAGAAATTACTAGAAAACATGTGGTTTTAACTATTGAAAGTGCACAATTTGTAACAGAATCCACACTTCTGGCTTTAAGGATGTGTTAAAATGTAGTCTTTTAGGGTTAAAAATATATAATGAAAATGTAATTCAAACAATGTGGCTTGCAATTTTATTTCTAAATCAAGACTGCAAGTCCATACGGTTTTAAAGATGCATTATGTAAATTTCTGGTCTAGGGTACGGCTGCTCGATTATGGAAAAAATAATTATTCGTGATTTTTTTTTTATCAATACTGCAATCACGATTATTCAAACAATTTTTCTTTTAGTTACACGGTGCATTCATTCAGCATTTCTCTCTTAAAAAACACAAAGTTATTGATAATTTACGCAAACCTTTCAAACTGAAAATAATAAAGGCTACAAATATGTACCTTAAAAAACATAAAATTGATCAAATAAACTTGAGCATGAAATAAAGCATAGAAAAACATAAATGTATCTCTATATTTTAAGAAATGTAATAAATATACTTAAACTTATAAAATTTGTTAAGCTTTATAAATCGTTTCAACTAAATTTTATGATGTTGGAGATGATACACAAATCGAAATCGCAATCAAAATAGAATTAATTGCACAACCGTAGTCTAGGATCTGACACCCGCTTGTCTCCTTTGATGTTGTTGCTTTGCCAAGAATGTTCCACAGTACAGCATTAAACTTGTCTGCTTATTTTGAAAAGGTATGTTTTCTTAAGGTGTTTTCTGAAACGTAAAAACACCAGTATGACAGATGATGCTTGATAAACGTGGGACAAACCAGGTGCAGCAACAGCATCTCTGTGGCAGTTAGTCATGGTCAAGTCCAGGTTTAGTTTTGATTCTAGTTCCAGTTTGGTCACAATCTTGATGTGATTTGTGCAAGGCCAGATTAGGACAACAATTCAACTGGCTACTCTAGCTAGTGGGACTGAATAAGAGTTAATACAGGCCACAATGAAATACTACCATTAAAATATTACACTAGAATTAGACAAATAAAATAGTAATTAAATGCTCAATAATAATAGCTGCATATTATAATACAAATTAAATAATTATCTACAGTTAAAAGTGAACTATAACTTTGCTTTAGATACATCTACACGTCGCAAAGTGAATAAGATGATGTATTTTTGAGCAATAAAAACACCTATAGTTGAAAAATTTGCAAGATAGACGCATTTAATGTCACAATAGGGAACATCTAGGCAAAGTAATAAATCAACATGGAGACAGTAGGGAGCAACGAACTGATTACAAAAGTTGCATAGTCCATCTTTAATGACAATCACTGTTTTTCACTTTCACGCATACTCACACAGTCCAATCTTATGTTTCTAAATTAAAAGACTATTTTTTAAACACTTTCAAGTCTTGAAAATGTTAATTGGCAGAACATTCCAGACAACGTAATGATGGTGACGGTTGGTAGCGGCCCCTTGATTAGAAAAGTTACATAATCCACCTTTATTGTTAATCCCTGCCATTCACCATCACACTCGCTCTCACGGTCTGATCTCATGAAATCTGAAATGAAAGACTAAAGACTATTTTATGCGCGTAAGTGTTGTTTAGAGTTGTAATCTTCACAGGGTTCATGTGCGGAACATTCCAGGAAAAGTAATAAAACTATTGAGACAGTAAGCAGCAGCCGCCTCACTGGAAAAGTTACATAGTGAGCAGATTAAAGGTGGACTATCACAATCGCACATTCCTATTTTATTTGTTTAATTAAAAAACACAAAAACAATTATTTGTAAGTGTTCAGTGTCGAGGAAAAGTAATAAATCTCCATAGAGACGGCATAGTAGTAAAAACCTGCACCAGAAAAGTTACAGCCTACCTTTAATGATAAGATGTTCACTGTCATACTCACACAGTCTGAGCTTATGTCTCTAATTTGAAAGACAGCAGGTAGCAGACTCTACACTACAAAAGTTATGGCTCTAAATTTGAAAAACCGCAGACTGTTCTTCTAAGCATTGTTTCGAATTGTAATCTCCAAAATGTTAATGTGCGGAGCATTCCAGGTAACGTAATAAATCTCCATGGAGACAGCAGATAGCAGACCCTACGCCGCAAAACTTCCACAATCCACCTTTAATGTAACCTTACGCCTCTAAATTGAAAGAACACGCGCTATTTTTCTAAGCTTTGTTTCGAGTTGTAATTTTGAAAGTGTTAATGTACTGATAAGAGGAGTGCCACTGTGCTCACTGGGCTCCTGTGGCTGCGCGGTTGGAGTTGGCACGACGGGTGGCGAGCTATGTAGAGCCTCCGACGGGCACGGGCCAATCTAAGCTATGCCAACGCCAAACACCTGGACTGCCGCTCCGCATAGCCAAATTATCTCTCCATCTGTCCTCTCCGGCTCTCAGGCCAGCGTATAGACTCGAAAACTAGTCGGACTGGTTACTGGTGTTGTGTGGCGTTCTAGTGCAAACAAAAGTGCACGGCGGACTGCACATAAAAGAGAAATTGTGCAAACATAAAGCACATGATGTCCTTCAAAGTGGATTGTCCTCTTTTGCGATTAGATCCAAGGCCACCCCCAATTCTACCTGTTACTACAACAATGACAGTGATAAATGGGAGTCTGGAATAGGGTTTACAGTATTGGTGCGGAACACAGGGAAAAGAGCCAATTCCTGAATCTAATAGTCAGGTATAATGAGGTAGAATGTATTGTGTTGGGGCAGCTACATAATTGAAAGTCTTACCTTAGAGAGCACAGTGCAGGCCCTACTCCAAACTATTTAGAAGTTCATTATTTTACAAATTAAAAATAAAATCGCATATGAAGCTTTTCCAGCATCTATTTATATTGGCTTGGGACTGACAACAATACACAGCCATCAGGATTATTTCATTGCATGATCTGTTGTTTTGATTTCAGTAGATTTAGACTAGGTTGGAGTAGTACTTTTGCAGTATTTTTTCATAGTCTTAAATGAAGCATAGTTGCTCTATTGGCATTCTCTGCCACTGACTAGTATTTATTGTTGTCTGAGTGTAATTAGGTTTAATTTACAGCCTCTCTCTTTTATGATCTGTAGTATTGTACCTTATTGTAAATCGTAAGTACAGACTGCACTGTTGTAAATGTAAAACAAATCCCCTATGATGTAACAATATTGGATGTGAGTTGCTGGGACAAAGGTGTAAGATAATGTTCTGCTCTGAGAACCAGCGCTGGCAGTAATACTGATGCAGTTTCATTTCATATTTATAACTGGCATTGCTCCAGCACATTTCCTGTCAGGCCTATTTATGACTAATATGAATATGACTGGTTCATGTGAATCACGTGTAAAGTGTAAATAAGCTCAGAGTTCCTAATTTTTCTGTCTATATTTAAGTCAGGGGCATTTTCAAAGCTGGTCAAAGGAACAGCAGTTTGACAGTGTTCATGGACCTCGATTATTTAGAACAAATGTAATATTGACATTTTATTGTGACACAAGCCAGACACTGTGAAGTCCTATTTTGGGACGATCAGCTACGTTTTAGAGGCAGACAGTGGCTGAGGCCTCAGTGACACAGCAGCTTCAAGTTTCTGCTTTTAAGGTTTAATCATTGTAAAAATAGAAATGTCTTTGAAGCACTTTTCTGTTTTAATCAAACATCTTTCATTTGGCTGTCAGAGAGTGCTCCACCCACACGCACACACACTTAAAGAGACACACACGTGTCTGTAACAGCATCACTCCAGAGTCCAGGGCCTGGTTTAAAACTGCTCCTGTTCAGGTCCCTCAGTGTGAGGGAGCACCCGCTCGGCCAGGGACACGTGAAAGCGCCCTCTGTGATGATTCATTAAGGCCCATGAAGATCCCATCAGCAAACAGGGAATGTTGACATTCTGCAGTAATTGGAGGGAGAGGGAGTGTCCCGCGGATGTGCAGCGCCCAGTGAAAGATGGAAACTATCCTGCTACACTTCTCTGATCTGCTTTTAATAAGAAGAATGCTTTAGCCGCACGCTAATGTAGGTCAGCAAAATGAATTACAACATAATGGTGGCTGCACTCTATTTGTGCGAGACTTAATGGGGAAACACAGCTTCTTGGGGTTTAGCACAAAAGTGAACTTTATTGCAGTTGAACCAAAGTGGTAATGGTGGGTGCAGTATAGTAGCGTGAAGTGCAGCCCAAAGGCCTCTTTACAGAAGTGCTCATCAGCAGCAGCACAAACAGGACTGCAGCAGAGAACAAAGTCCCTCCCCTTCGTTTAGACCCGCACACTCCTCTCGCCCAAATTACATTTTCATGTCTGATTTAGTTACTCGAGGGAACCTCTTTCTATATACACCAAGAGACTATTTAAAAAATGAAGAGCAAATACCAGGCAGTGCCTAAGTAAGTGTCTGCTGACACAAACCCAGGACTCAGCAGAGTGAGCAGCCAGCCTCAGCGCCTGGTGTCACCACTCGCCATAAGAGCTCACTTTAATCCAATATGCCATGGAGTTATTGATGGAGCGTATTGGATTATCAAAAGTACTCTGGGTCTGAACTAAAGTGGTGCAGTGTGTTTGAGGCGTGTTTACATGTTGGACCAAACCTCAGCACCTCACAGTTTGTCAGTTGAACTATATCCTCTTGTCTCCTGCTGCAGTACCAGATCGGGCAGCTCTACATGATCAGTAAGCACTGCTGTGAGCAGAGTGGAGGAGGGGAGGGAGTGGAGGTGGTGAAGAATGAGCCTGAGGTGCACCCACAGTACGGCAACGGTCAGCTGACGGAGAAGAGGATCTACCTCAACAGGTAAAGCTCCACACGTGATTCTGCCTATCAACAGCATTTCTGCCCTCTCACTTCTGATTAGGCCTGTCACAATAATAGAATTGAAGTGACATATTGCTAAAGAAACAATAACAAACAATATACTGAAACTGATTTATGCCACTGACACAATAACCCTAAAGCAGGATTATCCCCCAAAACTATTCTCAGGCACAATATCATTTAAAAAACGAAACATGAGCTGCAATAAATAAATAGCAGAATGAAACACTTGTAATGAGTTTGTGTTTATAATGAGTCATAGAGGTCATTTATTCAACTATTTATTCAACCCTCTACAGCTCAAATCTTATGGTACAGAAGAATAAATGTTCATCACCAAAAATTATAGTTTCATATACCATTTTTTGAATGAGGAGTCAATATAGTAGCTAGACCTATAGGATCTGATGACTTTTGATCTTTGAGTTCTTATACGACTGACAGCCATAAACAGTTTCACCAGTAACACCCAGCTCAGTCCAAAGTCCAGTCCTCTGCCTGGGCACTTCCCAGCAGCAGCCACTCAACATGTGTGTTGTTGTTTTTTTAAGATAATTGGCAAAAAATAAAAAATAAAAAAACCTGCAGGAGCTTTGAGCATGTTCCTGAGTGTCAGGTGGGAAAAACATTGTTCCTCCTGTGGCTGCTGATTACAGAGTACAGTATGTGGGATGATGCTCCCCGCCAGTCTAAAGTATGCACTGTTCTCAAACTATACTTGAAACTCAAAAAAAAAAACATCAATTATAATACTTCTGGTTTAATGAACTCTCTGATATTTGTGGAGCAAATACTGGCATTGACACAAAGCTAACAAAGAAAAGATGATAGTCCTGTGCTAGTGCACAGAGAAATCTATTTTATAGTTTTGCCATTGGAACAATGAAAATAAATAAAAACACAACAACATTTGGAGGTAATTTGATCAAGTGCCGTTGTGGGTGTGGGGTTTCCCTGATATTCTCAGCTCTGTAGGGACTTCTATTACATTGGTATTAAACCTGTTTGGGCGGATTGTCAAAAAAAGGAAAAGGTTCATTTTCATGAGAAAGAATTATCCTAATAATAACCTTAACTGGAATTCAATAAGCTGCTAAAAACCCAAGGCCTAATCCTTAAATAAACTGTGCAGAAGTAAAGAAATGTCCCCACTGTGGAGGCTTGTCCTAATCTCTCATTGCTCTGGGACATTGGGCTCTCATTAGTAAAAATACATACGCACACACAAATACACACAACACACAAAAACACACAAATACACACAAAAACACAACCACACATTGAAGGGAAGTGAGAGCACAATGCATTTGCCTTCAATCATGTTCTGACATGTGACCTCCACGCTGCGCTAACAATTCATCACCACAGGTGTAATTGGGAATGAGTCATGCAGTCTGAGTGGCCTACAGGTAATCGAGCTATAAATGGCAGCAAAAGCACTTAGGACCTCTTTGTCAATGCTACTGTATAATCAGACATACTAACTGTAGCCGTACTAAGTGGGCCTCTCTGTTTCAGTAAACTGCCCGGATGGGCCAAAGCCTTTGTGCCGCGCTTCTTCTATGTGACAGAGAAGGCCTGGAACTTCTACCCCTACACAATCACAGGTACAACACACACATAACACACAATCACAGGTACAACACACACACACACACAACACACACACGTGTAACACACCACACAGGTACAACACACACATAACACACAATCACAGGTACAACACACACACACGTAGCACACCATCACAGGTACAACACACACGTGTAACACACCATCACAGGTATAACACACACACTCACACAAACCGCAGACAGTGTATTCGTCTAATGACTTGGTCAAATACATCAGAGTGAGACCGCTTTGCACACTTGACTGGGAGGCTGCTGCTTCAGGCTTGCATATTAACACTGCAGTACAGCGTAATTGATGCATTATGCAGTGTCAATAACACATGTCTCTGTGCATGTTTGTGCTTAACAGCCGCTGACGTTCACCTCATGCATGAGACACTGTACAACACCTGTTAGTGCAATCAAACATTTATCTGCATTCAGATGCCAGTCCCCAGTGTCCAAAGTGTGTTTGTAGTTTAGTAGAAGTCCTGTGTGCTCCTGCATGTGTGAGTAACTCCCTGTGTTTCTCCCTCTCCATATCGAACGCTCTGCTGCTGCTGCCGCTGCTGCTGCTGCAGAGTACTCGGTAAGTACCACACATCACTCACTGTACATGAATGCAGCCGTGCTATCAGTCAATCTAATCTGCCCTCAGCCCGCCGTTTAAACCCATTGTCACTCCTCAGGTATCATTCCTGCCCAAGTTCAGCATCCGCATTGAGACCCGATTTGAGAACAACAAAGGCGATAACCACAATGTGAGTATGACAGGACTGCTGCGTATAGTGACAGAGGAGCAGAGCAGAGAGGGAGGGGCCAGAGCACACGGGGACAAATCACAATTTTCTCTATGCTATGAAAAAGGGGAATGTTCATCAAGAGAAACAAGCAGAGAGCCAAATGTAGTATTGGCAAATCTATTAGGTAGACATGCAGCGTGCTGCTTACTGCTGCCACACCGCACTGAGCTGGGCCTGCCTCATTCAAAACAAGCATCACTGAGTGAGTGTCATCAAAACTCCTGTCCAAACATGTAACTGTGCTGAGGAAAATGTGGTCTGGCCTGTTTCATGTCAACAGATAACTCATGTTACATAAGTTTAGCCTAAAACAAGGCGCCATTATGAGGACTGATGACGTGTAGACAGCAGCATTCATACTCACAGCTGTGTGTGCAGGCAATGGACAATACAAACAACTGCTAGGTCACAACATTCTGCTGACCAATAATATTTAATACAGATGGGGGCAGCACATTTTTTCAATACTGTTAAAATGCAGATTTCTGCAGTAAAATAGTGAGATCTTTTCACTAATAGTCATGATCAGGTGCAATGAGAATACAATATAATCAATAGGTTGTGTTCATGTTCTAGTGAAGGGCAAGGCTCTATGGAACTCTAAGGAAGATTCACTGTTTTTGAGAGATTATAATATACTAATATAATATAACTTATGATCCACAAATGTTGAAACTTTTTATTTATTTGGGATTGGCACTGCAAAGTTGTCATATTAATCTTATGGCTTAAAGTCCTTTCAACTGACAACAGTGATGTCTTTGTGTTGAATAATGGCACCACATTCTGAGACTTGAACAATTATTTCACTTTTGTTTATTTATATTGACAGAAAAGACTTTGAACTTTGTGCCAGATCTTGTATAGGTTCAGTAATTACAGCAATATTAACCATAAAACACAGAAACAAATCAGCAATATGACAGCTAAATTCCACCATAAAACTCTAACCTGTCCTTCAGCGCCGTTCTAAACGATTGGCAGTCTGGGCTGTTGTGATGTTACGTGAACAGAACCTACTGGGAAATCAGGCTCTTGCCCCTCATCTGGGGCCACGACGTCATCACACTCAAGAATCTGAAAACCACCAATAGACTTACAATGATCTCTACCTCTTCTCCCTGACGTTTAATACTAGCAACTACTCAGAATATCTTGGTATATTTATCATAATTTTCCTATGTATTTGGCGTTATTTCTGCTTATACTGCATTTTTGTTCTTAAGGCAAAATGTATTCATGATAGCTTTGAGCCATGTTGGATCATTGTTACCTCATCAAAACATACCCGGAGTTTTGTTTTGCTTCATTTCTCATGTATGAGTAACCTTTTATTATTAGTCTGCCAACATTTCTGCTACACCTTGTGATGTCATGAAGCAGAACTTTTACTTTTTGTTCAGTAGAGATAGGAAATTCCGGGGCTGAAAGTACACAAATGATTCCAGTGAAGATGTACGGAGTTTAAAAACACTTTGGAGCCCTTACTGTATTATCACATGACATAACAAGGTGGAACAGTGTTTTTTCTGTTTAAGAGAACTTAAGTCTCTTTGCTTAAATTCATTGTTTTGGTGCAGCAATAGCTAAAAACTACATAGACCATGATCCTTCGCTCCATTACAGTGCAGACTACATGAAAAGTAATACAAATAATAAGAAAAATCATAACTTTTAAGCACATTTAAATCTTATTTCTTTGGTTTATTACAGAACAAGAGTCTTGTCAAGGAATTTTAAAAGGAAAAAGTTTTTTTTTCACAATTTTGTTAGAGTCTATAAAATATCGCAATAAAAATCGTACTGTGGGATGTATATGATGAAAAAAACGTATCGAGAGGTTTGAATATCGTTACATCCCTAATGATTTGTGTATTAAACATGTATAGGTATGTTTTTGAAGAAACAATATTAGAACATAGCCCGGAAAACAGTGTGATATGTGTCCTCATGTGAAACACTTTAGACAGCTGAAGTAGTTTAAAATGCATTATACAAATTAACATGAATTAAAATGAATAGAATGATCCAGACAGTAACAGCTCAGACGTTATTATTGTCCACATTGTAAAGAGCTAATGTAACATATTCGATAAGAGAGAGCAGGACCTTGGTGCAGTGAGAGACCGCCAGGTTATTTTCTCCCAGCCGCACTTTGTTAGTTTTCAATGAACCGTTGCAGCAGGGCATTACAACTAATACTAAACAAGGTCAAACAAAAGTGCTATGCTTGTGTGCCCTCCTCTCGCTCTCTCTCTCTCTACAGGAAAAGTGCAAACTACTCTTTTATTTCATAGTTTGGTTCATGCTTTAAAAGTGTATATAACACAGAGGCGTGTGGTCAGGGCAATCAAGGCAAGCAGTGGTTGACCAATAAAATCTAAAATCATCACGTGTCAAAAGTATAATTAAATAGTTTCAAATTATATCCAAATAATGTACCTTTTGTGTAGTAAGTGTGTTACATTAGAAATACATAGATAACAATAGTAATGAAAGCTCAGCTGTACAAATACGGTGAAGGAGTTGAAATAGCCCACAAACAGCCCTGTTTGTACAAAGAAAATGTCAAATATAGTCCAATACATACAAATATTAATAAACTATATGGACTAGGTCTCTTTAATTTGACTCCAAAATTGCTCAGTATACATGCAATTAATGGCAGTAAAATAAATATAATAATTTGCAATGTAGTTTTATGTAGTATGTTTTATGTTGCAATTATTATCAACTAAATATTGACATCCACCCCAAGCCCTATAAAAGTCAGCGCATGTTACTGATATAACAGGTTTTCATATTTTCTAATTACTTGTTTTGATGAGTCAGTTACTGTGGTAAATATTTATCATAGTTTTACACCAGTTAAGTGGCGGTTTGTAGAGTTTCAAAGAAAAGAACAATATGCAGGACTTCGCAGTGCGTTCTAAAATAGATCCCTCTAAGTCATTGGCTCTATCGGAATCTCCACTCTAGTCCCTAAAATCAATTACTGCACAGGCTACTCATTAGCGCCCTCTATAGTGCACTCATGATTCGGACACACAGCTCACTACTTTCAGGTCACGTGACTGGCATCTGAGTGAAAAAAGTCTGCTAAACTCCGATAAAAATTGATTTCTGTCATAAACAATGATCAGATTGGACTACATTATTTGCTCTGTGTCTGAAATGTGGAAATTATCGATCTATTAACAGCTGGAGCTAAGGTAAGCAGATAACCAGAACGCTTATAACGCTTTAATAATACCACAACGCTTTATTTAAGTGTTTTATTTCTAATCAGAATCAACAGAGCCATAAACCAGTGCTTTTATCTGCTTTTATTCAGTCGGGTTGTGTCCAGTTAAACACCTGTCGTTGTACTCCGTTGTTTTCCCGACTCTTGCAATGCATTGTGGTCTATATTGACTGGTCTACTTACCACCATGGATCAATGCCCAAAACTTTAAAAGATGCATTGTGGTAAATTTTGAGGGCACTACTTTTTCACCAACTGGACATTGGGACACCCCTAAAAATGACATGACCCCTAAATAGTGCACTAAGTAGGGAATAGTGTGGACAGTAGTTCGGACACAGCCCATTAACACCAAAAATTCCAACCAACCAAATACAAGGACAAATGCAAAGAAGGCATTTTTTCTGACACCGATTTAACAAAAAGGCATTGTCATCCATTTTTATTAGTCTCATAACTATAAAATTTAATTACTACTAAGTTAATAATCAGTAACTATAGGTTTTGGGCCTTGTTAGCGTTCTGGTTACAGTAACAGTAACAAATTACATGTTATTATGTTTTATTAATTACTGATGTATCTTGATATTTACCACATTTAAAGGGCCTATATTACACTATTTTTTTTTAAAATCTATATTATAATTAGGGGTGTAATGATTTCCAAGTCTCACGATACAATATTATCATGGTATGAACCTCACGGTACGATATTTATTGCGATATCGTGGGAAAGCTCACGAGTAGGGATGTAACAATATCAAAATTTCTTACAATATTTATGCTATATTTTCTCGATATACATCTCACGGTACGATATTTATTGCAATATTTTGTTGGAGGGTAACAAAACTGCTACTTTTTCCTCTTAAAACGCCTTGACAAGACTTGATCCAAAAAACTAAGACTTAAAAGTGCTTAGAACTGTTATTTCTTCTTGTAGTCTACATTGAAATGGAGCAAAGGATCATGGTCTATGTAGTTCCCTGCCTTTTTTTTTAGCTACTGCTGCACTGTAACTCTTCATTTAAGCAAAAAAACTTGTAATTCGATACACTGTGATGGTCCACGATATTATTGTGAGAACTTTGACCATAGGATATCACGATATTTTGTTTATTGTGACATCCATAATTATAATGTTATGTCCCAATCAAAAACATACCTGGAGTTGTGTTTTGTTTAACATATTTCGCACACGTTTAACAAGCAAATGCTGCATATTTAGGCTGCAGTGTGTTTTTAAACTCACCTTCACTAGAATCATTTGGATCATTTCAGTCCTGTAATTACTCATTTCTACTGAACAGATAAAATGTAGCTGTTAATTTTTAAGCTTAGGAAATGTAGACAGACTAATAATAAAGTGTTACGCAAACGTGTGAAGGAAACAAAACACAAATCCAGGTGTGTGTTTGAGGAGGTAACTTTCTAACATGGCTTAAAGCTCACAAGAGTAAATTTTGGGTAATATAGGAGCTTTAAAACAAAAAGCAATTCAAAAAGAAAGTAAAATGATAAACTTTAACGAATAAAAAATAGACAAAACAAGGCAAGTGTCTGAAATGAGCAGTAAAGCATCATATACACTATACTGCTACTATGTCCTTGTTGTCTCTCCTTTCTCTTCTCCTCTATGTGATTCGCTTGAGGGCCTGGGGGCGCGCTGTAGTCAGGATGTTATGGTGTGTGACCCCTCTTTCATACACAGTTACTCATCTTGTTGTGCTCCCCGTGAGTGACTGCAGAGTGTGAGGACTGTTTGCTCTGCTTGTACCGGCTGACCTACCTCCATCTGTGTTCTAGGTGTTTGGGGACAATCCCACCCCATCGGAGAACGTCGTTTTCCTGGACATCCTCAGCGACCCCATCCCCGACAGGCACTACAAAGAAGCAGAGGTAGGAATATACAGTACAGTGTTTTTTCCTCTTTTTTTTTTCTGCGCAAACACCACTTGGCTTGCCAGTGTTAACAAAAAGAAGTGTGTGCAGTAGTCATGTTAAGAGCCAAGGCAGTCTGTAGAATGAAAAATAAAAGGTCAGATATTAAGCTAAATTGACTCCTGTGAGCTTTAAATCATCATACCTGGAGTTGTGTTTCGTTTCATTCACATATTATTAGTCTTTCTACATCTCTAAAGCTCAAAATGCTCTGTTCCATCTTCTGTTTCCAACTTGAAAGCTACCACTACATGACAGCAGCTGCGTTTACCTTCAGTTCAGTAGAGACTGGTCTGAAATTGTCCAAATGATACTAGTGAAGGTGTGTGGAGTTTAAAAACACAGTGGAACACATCCTGTATTACAAGATAACATCATAAGGTGAAGTGTTTTCTGTTTGAGAGAAGAAAACAGCCTAAATATGCAGGATTTGTGTATTAAATGTGAGTGAATGAAACAAACAACATAATATTTAAAGGGCCAGTGTGGAATTTTGGACATAGGACCTCATTTCCTAGTGAGCCAGAGTGTTGGAGACGTGTGGATCCACTTTTTTTAAATATTCCATCCAGTCCTTGTATTTGCAGAGGTCGCTGGTGCTAGGCTAGTGCATGTCAATGGCCATAGTTATCCTGCTACTAAAAACTGTCTTACCCACTCCACAAAACACCCAAAGTAAATCTATTATCACGCCAGACTGTCGATGTAAATGTCTGTGTTGATAGAATACTGTTTGAAATAAAACTATCCTTGCATCGCATGAATCGTCGCATGTTGAGGAACTATTTTCTCAGCAGCAGTGGAATAAGATAGGAGCTAGGTGATATCAGTCTGGCAGTGCCAAGCTTTCTATCAGGAAGTACAACTCACTGCTGCTACTCAGATCATAAATCCTTCAAATGCAAGGTTGGTTTTATTTCTAACATTATTCTATCAACACAGACATTTACATCAACAGTCTGGCGTTGTAATTGTTTTGCTTCAGGTGTTTTGTGGAGTGGGTAAGACTGTTTTTAGTGGCAGGATAACTATGGCCATTGACATGCACCAGTGACCTCTGCAAATACAAGGACTGGATGAAATATTTTAAAAAATGTCTCCACACGTCTCCAACACTCTGGCTCACTAGGAAATGAGGTTCTATGTCCAAAATTCCGGACTGTCCCTTTAAGGAAACTGTTCATTATATTATTATTTCTCTATTTCAGTTTAATTCTGCAGCCTAATGATTAAACAGTATTTTCAAACAATCGATTAATCACCCGTAAGTGTTAAATAAGGGGGAAAAAAAGACTGCGTTCAGACTTGCACACACCTTACATAAAGATTTTGACTAATGCCTGGAGCAAATGTCTGGAACTACACCGGGACTAAACCAGGATTACCAGAACTAAAGCGAGACTACCATCAAGACTAAAGTGTGACCAAATCAGGACCAAAACAGGACCAGAGAGTAGCACAAGTGTCTGTTTACGGCACCTCCAGTAGAAATCCCTTGTTTGAAGCTCTCACATGAGGAGCAGAGGTGTCACCTGGATTTCACAGTACACACTTGTGGTTCTGCAGTTACTGTTTGCTTTAAGCGACGACACTGAGCAAGAGGCAGCATGTCCCCAAACAGCTCAAAGTTGTTTGCTTACGTATTTAAGACTATAAATCCATATTTGACTTTCACATTATCCAAAACTGTTTCATAAAAAGGATCTGCCCTTTGGCTATGGCGCTGTGAGAAAATATTGCAATTTTTTTATTTGATGATGCCGTTAAAGTCAGAAACAGTGTAGTTGCAATACTTAATTCTGGTTCAAAGTCCATTATGTCACTATATACATAAAAGATTAGTTGCGATTAACCAGTTTAAGCCCTAATTATAATTTTACAGCACATTTTAAATGATGTACAAATTGTGTGTACAGACTGAGCTCTATATATATGTACATTTGACATTTCTTACTTTTATTACTTGGTGATGTACATCTCATTAGTTTAGAGCAACATAAATAGATCATAAACTAAAGCCACTCGTCTGGCTGCCTCGTGTTTTTGCCTTAATAGTTTACCAATTACACAGTGACTGGACATATTTCTACACAGTACTCTAACTGTACTAGTGGAAGTAGAAGTAGTACTAGTTACTGTGGTCATAGTAGTAGTAGCAGCAGTAGCTGCTGTGTAGTAGTAGTTGCTGTAGTACTAGTAGAACTAGTTTGTGTAGTAGTACTTGCTGTAGTACTAATAGTAGTAGTAGCAGCAGTAGTAATAGTAGCTGCTGTAGTAGTAGTAGTAGTAGTTGCTGCTGTAGTAATATGAGTAGTAGTTGCTGCTGTAGTAGTAGTAGCTGCTGTGTAGTACTAGTTTGTGTAGTAGTAGTTCCTGTAGTACTAGTTTGTGTAGAGTAGTTGCTGTAAGTACGAGTAGAACTAGTTTGTGTAGTAATAGTTGCTGTAGTAGTAGTAGTAGTAGTTGCTGCTGTAGTAATAGTAGTAGTAGTTCCTGCTGTAGTAATAGTAGTAGTAGTTGCTGTGTAGTACTAGTTTGTGTAGTAGTACTAGTTTGTTAGTAGTAGTAGTAGTAGTAGTAGTAGTAGTAGTAGTAGTAGTAGTAGTAGTAGTAGTAGTAGTAGTAGTTGCTGTAGTAGTAGTAGTGGTTGCTTAGTAATATTAGTAATAGTAGTAGTAATATTAGTAGTAGTAGTAGCAGTAGCTGCTGTGTAGTAGTAGTAGTACTAGTTTGTGTAGTAGTAATTGCTGTAGTAGTAGTAGTTGCTGTAGTATTAGTAGTAGTTTTAAAACCCAAATAATTCAGATGTAGATCAAATCCATTCCAAAACTATTATATGTGATTTCCTTTTTCAGAATCAATATTTGTTCAAATCTGGTATTTTTCTAGCCGCACCAAGGACACAACAGTTTGCAGTGAAACAAAAGGCAAATAATTCTTAATGAGAGGGAAATCCCACGTGAAACACAGCCTTTTATTCCCATGACGTGCGGCAGTGAACGGCGCCTTATCTTCTGCTCAGAATTGAAAGCAAACAGACACTTTAATCTCAAGTAGCGCGATGATCAAATATGGAGTGAGAACCATTTGAGCGGTCACAGGATTGTACACACTGTAGTACTGCCGACTCAGCACCTCTGTAAATATGTATGTAGGCTGACCATCTCAAATAGTCATGCAAGCGAGACGGTTTGTGCTATGAGGTGAGCACTGTTACTTCAAAACTGTATTGCGTTATTTATTACTGTTACTGTCATTTCAAAGTAATTTGTTACATTACAATAATACTGCATTTCAAATTTAAGACATTACACGACTACTGCAGCGCTTTAACTTACTCTCACTAAAATAACTGTCGCTGATCGTCAAATAACAATCAAAAAGCAAAGATGCAGGACTTTCGGTATACGGACTAAACCAGTACAAAACCAGGACTGAACCGAGGACTGAACCGAGGACTGAACCGAGGACTGAACCAGAGCTGACCCGGGACTGAACCAGGACTGAACCAGGTCTGAACCAGTACAACAACAGGAATGAACTAGGACTGAACCGAGGACTAAGCCAGGTCAAACAAGGACTAAACCCGAGCTGAACCAGGTCTAAACCATAACTGAACCAGGACTAAACCAGAGCTGAACCAGGACTGAACCAGGACTAAACCAGAACTGAACCAGGACTGAACCAGGTCAAACCAGGACTAAATCAGAGCTGAACCAGGTCTAAACCATAACTGAACCAGGACTAAACCAGAGCTGAACCAGGACTGAACCAGAACTGAACCAGAACTGAACCAGGACTGAACCAGGACTAAACCAGGACTGAACCAGGACTGAACCAGGTCAAACCAGGACTAAATCAGAGCTGAACCAGGTCTAAACCATAACTGAACCAGGACTAAACCAGGACTAAACCAGATCTGAACCAGGACTAAACCAGGAGTAAACCAGGATTAAAACAGGCCTAAACCAGGCCTAAACCAAGACTAGACGAGGACCAAACCAGGACTAATCTTGGAGCAGGGTGTCCGCAAAGTGCGACTGGGCTGCAATTAGCCCCGTGCGGCATGGAGCTCTGAGTCGGTCCTTTCGCCTGCGGTCACCTGACGGTCTACATGGGCGCACCTCCGTGTCCGTCCCGACATTCAGAATCGTAACTTTGGCGTTTCACCACTGCTGATATTGTGGTGATTTTAGCGAATTTGTATGAAGAAAAACGAAAAACCCACCACTTCTATCCAGTTTGTACCGAGTAAAATATTATCTTTTATTCCCTGTAACGCCTTATTTTACTGCGTTACAGCAAAAAGCAATGTATTACAGTAATTTGTTACTTTTATAACTCATTACTCCCAACACTGAAAGTGAGACAGGCAAGAGAAATGTAATCTTCTAAATAAAGACTGCTATAGAATTGTAAGATTAATCGCAACTGAATCGAAATCACAATTTGAATGGACACAGAAGGCTGTAATTAATAATTTCCTCCACAAACAACAAAATATTCTGTCTTATTCTGCATAAAAACTCCTAACCCTGTGGTATTTTTTTATGTCTGTATAACTATGCCCTGAAATGTGATTCTTCTATTAGTTAATTTGAGGCATTTTGTTAATTCTTGTGGCTGTGTTTAAAATGTGAACTTTGAACACTGTCCTATTATAAAAACACAAATTCTAAATCTAATCTAGTCTAATTGCAACACTGCTCAGAAATCATAATTACACATTTTTCCCCAAATCATTCAGCCCTGGCTAAAACACAGTCTGGAATAGCAATAGGTCTCATGGGGGGAGCTGTTCCGAGAAGACGAATTCTGTTATATCCAGAAACTGATAAATATGATGAAGTTCTGTTCTATCCTATATTACAGTCAGTATACCCCAAAAGTGTTAATTATACATGAGGGAAAGTCAATTAAAGCCGCAAGCGGCGTCGAACGGCCCTCGCCCGCCGCGCCCGCGAACGCCGCGCCCGCGAACGCCGTGCCCGCAAATAGTGTGCCCCGCCAACACCATACCGTAAACGCCGTGTCCGCAAACTCTGTGCCTGCAAATGGCAAAATGACATAGTGCGCCTTTAGATGTTCTTTGCACCCCCTACTGGCCAACCTTGAAAAAATTCCCATGTCAGCAATATATGTTTTTTTCTTCTAGTCATTAATAGAATTTAATTCCCAAATTTGGTGCAGATCCGACAATGTTGATGTTTCATGTCTATGGTAGGGGGCGCTATAGTGTTTTTTTCATATGTTTTATAGTGTATTATATTCAGACTGAGATCACACATTAGTGATTCAAATTTCAACACGATCGGACTAAGTCTGTGCGAACAGGAGCAAATAATGTCACCTTGAAATTCGCCAAAACTTTGACCAAATTTTGCAGCTTCGCCGCACGTAAACCGTGACAGTTATCAAAAAAAATCAGCTAACTTTAGATGTTCCACTTCTCTAGATGATGTACGGTGATTTTCAGCCCTGTGGGTGAAGCGCCTTCAGAGGAGTTCGTTCAAACGCAACGTGAACGAAAATGCGGACTCAAATTTCAATCCAAGATGGCCGCCTTCTGGTTTGTCAGGGGGCGTGGCCATAATAACATTTTTTTGTTTGTCTTGACATGACGAATGTGTGTACCGAATTTCATGGCTCTATGACAAAGTTGACCGGGGACGTCTCCCATAGGCGCCAAATTTTTGAGTCTTTGCGCCCCTGCTGGCCAACAGTGAAAATGGTATCATGTCCATAATATAATTTTTTGCTCGTAATCATGCATAGAATTTAATTCCCAAATTTGGTGCAGATCTGACAATGTTGACGTTTCATGTCTATGGTAGGGGGCGCTATAGTGTTCACTTTTCATATGTTTTATAGTGTATTATATTCAGACTGAGATCACACATTAGTGATTCAAATTTCAACACGATCGGACTAAGTCTGTGAACAGGAGCAAATAATGTCACCTTGAAATTAGGCAAAATTTTGACCAAATTTTGCGGCTTCGCCGCACGTAAACCGTGACAGTTATCAAAAAAAATCAGCTAACTTTAGATGTTCCACTTGTCTAGATGATGTACGGTGATTTTCAGGCCTGTGGGTGAAGCGCCTTCAGAGGAGTTCGTTCAAACGCAACGTCAGCGAAAACGCGGACTCAAATTTCAATCCAAGATGGCCGCCTTCTGGTTTGTCAGGGGGCGTGGCCATAATAACATTTTTTGTTTGTCTTGACATGACGAATGTGTGTACCGAATTTCGTGGCTCTACGACAAAGTTGACGTCGGGACGTCTCCCATAGGCGCAATGTATTTTGACTTTTCGAGGTGGCGCTGTGTCGCCATTTTTTTATGCCCGTGCACGAAACCTATATTTTATCGAATTTTTCGCCACTTCTGAATTTTGGGCAAAGTTTGGTGAGTTTTTGAACGTGTTTAGGGGGTCAAATTAGGGTTTAAAGAGCATAATAAAAATAATAATAATAATTCGAGCAAAAACAATATATCCGAAAACATTAGAACAACATATTATACATTTTTTGAAAGCTCTCGACCTTCCCCACGTCACCGTGGGGTCATTGGTGAGTGACGGGCGCGTCTGGACCATCTCGTCGGGGTCACCCCCGCCTCCATTGACTTCCATTCATTTTAGCAGTAGTAAATATGAGCCAGGCCTTGGGCGTGGGTTACTGGGATACTGCTGTTCGTGCCGGGGGCGACCGTGGACATAGTTGCATGTCGTCTTGTCGCATTCGGACATGCGCACGTCCCTTCCCATTCGCTCCGCTGAGCGGAAGCAATAGGCCCTACGCCCTGTCGGGCTCGGGCCTAATGAACACTAAATTTTAAGAAGACTGGAAAAGAAAGTGGTTTGAAGACTGCAGTGCCGAGGAATGGATTCTCTCAATTAAGAGTATGAGGAGATTTTGATATTTGGTGTTACATTTTATAGTCACATATTTGTCATGAACCTCAACTAGGACAGTTACAGGCATGTTCGAGCACATTTATGATGGATTGCTATAATATTGTCATCAGGATAATTAAAAAATGTCCAGAGGAGATTGAGTGGATATTAATGAAGGAATGCCATCTTAATTGCTTTTATCAAGTATTTCATAATCGCTACTGTTCTATAACATATTTGTAACCAGGAAATAATTACTGTGTTTTTCAGACTATAAGTCACTCGGAGTGTAAGTCGTACCAGCCAAAAATGCATAATGAAGAAGAAATAAACATATATACGACGCACTTTTTGGGGGAAATTTATTTCATCTTGAAAGTCAAGTTAAAGCAAAAACAATAGAACAGAGAACAACAGGTTGAATAGGCGTCTGGTATGTTAACGTAACATATGAACAGTTCTTCAGAGAACTATAGCATAAACAACAGAACAGAACAAGTTTACCAAACTCTCCATCTCACTTCAAATCAGTAAATCCTTTGAATTCTTGATCTTCAGTGTCACTTCTGAGCAACTCCGCAACCTCCACCACTTCCTCTTCTGTGTAGCTGTCGTCCGACTCAGCATCACTTCCAGCTAGAATTATTCCGGCCTTTCTGAATTCCGACAGGATGGTTTCGGTTGTTACTGAAGTCCAGGATTTGTCAATCCATCCAGTGACTTGACAGAAAGTTGCAGGGTGCACCCTCCCAGTCGCCGTGAAGCTGTGTTTTCCATCGCCGCTTTCCACCAGTCCCTTACAAGTTTCTCACTCACTCCAAACTTTCTTTCTGCTGCTTGATTACCGATTTTTGGCTGAATATTTCACTACTTGCAGCAAGACAACGACTTTTTCTGCAGGAGACATGTACAGTAGATCCAAGTGACAGTGGTACAGGAGTAATAGGAGCAGCAGATACTGACACACCACCCTAGAGCGCTCTCTCGCGGCTGTCAGCATGAACATTTTCATATATAAGTCGCACCGGAGTATAAGTCGCAGGACCACCCAAACCATGAAAAAAAAGTGCGGTATGTTTTTTTCTAGATAAGACCATAGCTTCCATAGCGAGGTGACTAGGGATGTGCCAACTAGGGGTGGGCGATATATCGATATTTTAAATATATCGAGATAGTTTTTAAACTCGATATGAATTCTGACATATCGTATATATCGATATAATGCTTATATTCAATTCTGATTTCGTCGTTTCGCTTGTTTACCTTCTCTCTCGTCGCCCGCGCGCCCTCGCCTCCCTGATTTTGTTCGCTCGTGTCTCCTTCACTCCTCACTGTCGCCGTGAACGCTGAAAGTTGGTGCCAGTGAAAAGCTTCTAGCGCCACGAACCTTTTCCACCATTTACAGACAAAACCACCAGCAGCACATCCTCATAATCCACCGAGTCGCGTCCTTTAGCCCGAAAGAAGCTAAACGAGCTGAGCTGCATGAGAAGTGCGCTGTTTATGCAAATGAGCCATGTAAAATGTAAACACACGTGCGCAAAACTGCATTAAACACATTATTATCGCAAATGGGCTGATGTGGCTCTATAGTCATTATACTTTATATATTGTAAAGTTTAGCAATGTAAAGTTTATTTATGCAGAAGATTTTAATTAATAATCTGCTGCAGTGTAACTTGTACAATAGCGTTTGGAAACGTTTGATTTGATCTGCAGTGGATTGTGGGATTAAACCTCAGAGCTCCTTACTGCTGGATAGAAACATGGATCTATTGAAATAAGGAACATTATGAGCTTCTTCTCCTAAATGAGCTCATGGTTCTGGTTCTGGTCTGGATAACAGAGTTAATGCAAAGAAGAGCTTGTGTTGAGTTGTTTTATTTATGAATGAAAAGGAGGAAATATATATAATTTCTTTTATTTTCCAGTTAAATTATTATTTATGTAATTAGGGTTTTTTGTAATCTTAAATGTTCCTATATGAACTGCTGACCTCTTACACTTCAATTTAAAAAAAAAGACCTTGTGGAATTTGGCAGATTTGTTTTTGCAGTTTTCAGTTTTAGGGGGTTATTTTTTCTTGAACATATATCGAGATATATATCGTATATCGAGATATAGCAAAATATATCGAGATATATTTTTTGATCCAGCCCTAGCACCAATCCTGCTTTTTCAGTTCCGATACTGATTCCAATACTATAGCTTTAAATATCTGCAGGTACCTGATATTAAGAGATACCAAAACAGCATTTATTTCCTTTAAACATAAGACAAAACTGATCCAAATGTGTTACATAGCTGTTATTTATTTCTCAAATAACAACAGAACGGCTTTGGTTGCCATGGTATCCGCACGTAAAATAGGGGTTGCAGGGATTAAAAGGATATGATAATGATGATCTGATATTATTTACCTCATTGTGTTTGTGTTGTGGTGTGCAGGACTTGAGTCGGTGGCAGTCGAGTAAAACGGGCCGAGGTCCTCTGGAGAAGGGCTGGGTGGAGGAAAACCAGCCCATCATGTGCTCCTACAAACGGGTCCAATGCAGCTTCGAGGTCTACGGCTTCCAGACCAAGACGGAAGAGTTCATCCACAGAGTAAGGCCCAGCAACAACACTGCAAGAGACACAGCACATACACTACCGGTCAAAAGTTTTAGAACACCACATTTTTTTCAGTTTTTTACTGTTTACTGCTGACTAAAACGTTCTAAACTTTTGGTTGGCAGATATAACAGCTGAACAGACTCGTGGCATTTTTTTTTACAATAGAAATCAAATATTCTTCAGAAAGTTCTTCCCAAGTCTGTTGCAGAAGTTCCCATAAATGTTTAAATTTATGAGAACTTAAATTTAAATTTGACTCTTCTGTCCAGTTCATCCCAAACCATCTCGATGGGGTTTAAGTCTGGAGACTGGGCTGGACACTCCAAGTTTTCAAGCTCACCATCTTGTTCTTTTTCCTGAGGTAGTTTTGGCAGAGCTTGGACTTGTGTTTTGTTCTTTTATCTTTTTTCTTATCTTTTTTTTTTATCCTCTGGCTGTTCAGTTCTTACCTTTGTACCATTTCAAGCTCTTCATTGGGCTTGCACGACTTGAATTGCAATAAATAACTGGAAAAATTAGGGTGTTATAAAACTTTTGACCGGTAGTGTATATACAGTCACAAAATAAAACCTACACATACAAAAACGTTTGTTATGTCTCTTACATCTTTCCTCAGAGTCCTCAGAGTTAGTTTTTAGTTACTGGTTTCTGTTCTAGATCATGGTGTTAAAAGTGGGGCCGACGGGTCAAATTAAGCTCTACAGGGGGGCTATTTTAGCCCATGGGGGAGTGCAGAGATTTGTAAGTATCTATTTAGAGGAGATGACAGGGAGCCCATACCAGTTTATCTCTCTAAAAAGCACAATACGTGTGACACTTTGACACTTCTATTATAAATTTGGACCCACTGTTCTAGATACAAGAGCAAAAACAATAATTACACTGAATTTGAATGAGACACAAAAACATAAAATGGATTGATGCACTATGTAACTTTTAGGGTAGCTGTTATTGCTTTGCAGAGATGGGGACTTGCAAGTCGTGACTTGGACTCGAGTCAGACTTGAGTCACTATTTTTAGGACTTGAGACTTGACTTGATAAAATGGACTAAGACTTGGGACTTGACTCAGACTTGAGGTCTGTGACTTGAGAAGCACTTTTAAATCTGAATTCTCTCTGTTCTGACTGTAATGATTCTCACTAAGATCTTGTCAAGACATTTAAAAAGGTAAGATTTGCATTTCTACTACTCTATAAATACTCATATATAAATATACTATGATTATTTAAGTATAATTTTGTTTAAAATTCATACAAATTGCAAAAATCTACGTTATATTTGGTACTTTGGTTTAAAGACTCAAAATGATTTGAAGCTCAAAGCAGACAACTTATACTTGACTTATGGGCCAGTGACTCGAGACGCGACTTGAACTTCGCTGTATTTGACTTGAGACTTGATTTGGACTTGAGGTCAAAGACTTGAGACTTACTTGAGCCTTGCAAAACGACGACTTGGCCCCACCTCTGTTGCTTTGCCTGGAATGTTCCATAGTACAGCATTAAACTCGTCTATCTCTATGAAGACAAGCAGGTGACACAACCAGGCTTAGTGAAAGGTGAGATCTGGGAGAGGCGAGCCCGCACACACTGACAATGTATGATTTTCATGGTAATAAAAATGTATGTAATTTAAAAAAGCTTAAATATATATGCTTCATAGTATACTGTGAAACATTCCAGGCAAGACGATAACATCTTCATGGAGACAAGCAAGTGGTGTAAGAGTTACATAGTGCACCTTTAAAATGCACGCCTAACAGTCAAACTTGTAAGTGTGAAAATATTACATGGATTAGATCTAAAATGTATCAGCACTGAGAATTTTCAATAGGAAATCCTTTGTGCTTTGGTGAAACTTATCAGGGCTGTTTGGTTTTCCTTGGCCTGATAAAAAGCAGCGGCCTCACAGAACCTCTGCACCAGCGTTTACCTTCTCGTCTTACACCTTGAGCTGCGACGAGGAGACAGTCTGTTCTTTAGAAAACATCCACTGAGCACATCTGCAGAGACATGGCGCTCGGGCAGGTGCTGCAAAGCCTCCAGTCAAAGAACGAGATGATGAAAAACGAAAAGCACCAGAAGCAATCATCTTTCCGTTGCGCAATGTAGTAAACCTGGTTTGCTCTTGTGTGATACGTTATCAGCGCTTAAGTGTGTGAGTGTACTCTTATACATTTCACATAACCTCCTTTGGTTTGGTAATAGTGTGGGGAATAATAGAAAGCAATCTTTTATAAGACAGCAAGATTAATGATAATGAAATCACAATGAGAATTTGAATGGTCGCAAATCACAAGGGTTATTTAGGTAATGTCCTCTCCAGAGAAATGCATATTCAGTTACCAGGGATTCTTCTTATGCATTAAGGTTTTAAAAAATAATTACACGCAGAAACTAATCATTACTAAACAGAGTACTGAAACTAACACATAAATCTGCATAGTTTTAGTATAGTCTTGGTCTTCATAAGAACTAGAATGAGATTATGAGTTGAAAAGCACATTAGCTATTACTTAAAAATAGACACAACCACAGCTTCTTCAGAATTTGATACAATACATGATGAAGGGTGTGCAAAAATATCAGAATATCGCTATATCATATCGTTTAATGTGATAATACCGTATCAATATCAGGGACTGCTGTATCGATATATTGCCAAGGATATTATTTGGCATATTTTACTCCATAATTTTGTTACAGAGCTACAGTTTTGTTGCTTGTTTGGAGGAAGGAAACTCGTTTATGCAACACATTTGACCTTTTCACTGTTTTGATGAGTAAAATGGGTGTGTTTCATATTAATTTTGCACAAGCAGTGGTTTAACAAAGACTTTTAGTGTCACATTTAGCCATTATTTTTTATTGAACCATATGTAATCGATTTGAAATACATCATATTGAACCGAAAGTGCACTGTATCGAGAAATATATTGTATTATGGCCTATGTATTGAGGTATGTATCGTATCGGCAACTTCTTAATGATACCCTGCCTTATACACCAGTGGTCCCTAACCTTTTTTGCGCCATGGACCAGTTTTATATTAAGACAATGTTTCACAGACGGGAGGGGTTTGTGGGTGTATGGGAGAAGGTGCGGTGCGGAGTCTGGTGGTATAGTTAAGTCCTGGCTAAATCCTGTTTTAGTCCTGGTTTTAGACTTGTTTTAGACTTGTTTTAGACCTGTTTCAGATCTGTATTAGACCTGTATTAGACCTGGTTTAGACCTGGTTTAGACCTGGTTTAGTGGTGAAACCCGCGCAACATACAGGAGGGGTCACGGTCCGCGCTTTCACGCTTTTGGGGACCCCTGTTATACACGATACATGTCTCACGATACCATCACATTTTTAATAACCAAATACATTTTAACAACAATATTTCTTTTCTTTTTTTAACTAGTATGCATAGAAGCTGCTATGCCTGTAGTCTCTTCAAAAATCCTGAAATACATGGGATTCTTCTATTAGTTCAGCAGTTAAAGAATTTGTCTTTTTTTTATTGTTAATCTTCCTGGATGTTAAAAAATAAAAAAAAATTAAATAAAATATAAATGAAATTGCAAAAATGTTAAATATTTTAGTCCTACTTTTGTCAAACATATTTATTTTATTTATTTCAGAACATAAAGGACATTCTCTTGCTCGGACATCGACAAGCGGTGGCCTGGATCGACGAATGGCACGGTGCGTCTAAACTGTATACTGTATAATGAACATGGGTAAAAAACTATTGGAGGACAGTTTATTTAGAGGTTTACCCTTGATGCTATTGTTGCCATGTGTGAACAAACTCACATGTTTTGTTGCTGTCTTTCCCACAGGACTCACTCTGGAGCAGGTGCGGGAGTACGAGCGCATCATGCAAGAGAAGACCAACTGCAAAGTCAAAAGTAACACAGGTAAGGTGCGGCCATGTGAGCTGCGGGGAGGAGGGGGAAAAGGGGAAATTGGGGGCGGAGGGGAGCACTGCTGGATATGAAACGCTGAGAGCAGATAGAGCGAAAAGGTGGAGGTGAAACAGTTTGCAGTAATTATTCACACATTTAATTTTAGCATCTGCCAGAGAACACACGCGATTACAGAGAGAAAAACCTAATCCCACTCAAATCTTTCAATAATATCCCAAACGCAGATCCATTTTCTCCACCACTGTAGTGTTTGTATTAATAATGCCAACATGCACGAGGAGAGGCTGCTAACTACTCCCCGTGCCGTGCACTACAAGTACCCAGATGGCTGCTGTGCTTCTCAGAGAGGCGGAGCAGTCAGGAGGCTCTCAGCTCCAGAGCACAGGACACAGACTAAGGCTGCCTTCTCACTTGTAAATGGTTAATAAATGCTAAATGGTAACGTTTATATGGCCCCTATCTACCTCCAAGGCACTCAAAGCGTTTTATCACCTGAACCACTCACCCATTCAAGCACACACACACACCACTGTGCTCAGGCGCCAGGGTGAGGTGGGAAAAATGTCTTGCCCGACTACGCAACAACAGTAATCATCTGTTGGAGTTGGAATTGTACCTCCAGCCTGTGGGTGTGTGGAAATGACCGCTCTACTAACAAGGTTTATGACAAGAATGGGATTTGAACCACTGTCCTTCAGATCACAAGACAAGCATTCAAACTGAGATACTATTTTGTTTTAGTGCTACAGTTTAAGCCCATTTTACAATACAGGAAATGCTCCACTGTTTTTTGAAACTCCATACACTGAAATCATTTGGATAGCTTCAGGCTCTGGAATTGCCAATCTCTACTAAACAAAAGATAAAAGGCAGCTGTAACTTGAAAACAACCACTTAATTACAAGGTGGAAAGTATTTTGAGCTTTGGAGGTGTAAACAGACTAAAATAAACCAGGGTTACTCAAACATGTGTGAATGAAACAGCATTATAACATGTCTTAAAGCTCACAAGAGTCAATTTTGTGTTACGTTGGACCTTTAAGAAATTGGATTCTGTTCAGAGTAGTAGAGTTCACATTGTAAGCAACTAAGGATGTAATAATAGCCGATGTATTGTGATATTATATCGTTAAAAGTCTCACAATAATATCGTGGGCTGTCACAATATATCGAATTAGAAGTTCCTTTGCTTAAATGCATGGTTTTATAGTAGCAACAACTTATAAACATAGAGAACTACATATCCCATGATCCATTTTAGTGCAGACAACATGAAGAAATATGTTTTTACTTAAATTCTTGGGATTATGATGGAAATAATTCACACTAAAATCTTGCCAAGGTATTTTAAAGGCAAAAAAGTGTCCTATTTACATCCAAAATATCGCAATAAATATCGTACCGTGAGATGCATATCGTGATAATATCGTACTGATAGATTTGGATATCGTTACATCCCTATAGGTAACTACAAAAACATTTTCTCGTGCAGGTAGAACTACATTTTGACGGGGTACGTTGTTGTTTGCAGATGACATTCAATCATCTAAATAATTGTGCTCTTTGCTGTTTAGTAATAGCACCAATTCAAATGACAACTTCAATTTGATAGTGATATATCGACCAGCCTTAGAACAGAGCCAGAGGGACAGAGACAGATGGACAGACGGACAGATGCAGCAGTAGAAGAGAGTGTATACCGTCTCTGCAATGCTCTGATAAACTGGAGCTACCTGCTGAACTTCCCCATCTCCAGCCTCCTCTACATTAAGGAACAGCCATTGCAGCACTTAGCCGCAAATGTCAGCCCTAGTGGGGGTCTGAGAGGGGCATATGTAGGGGAAAGGGAGGAGGGGGGGTACTGTGTGTGCCTGTTTGGTCACCCTGCCCCCTGCTGGTTAGTCTGGTGAACCTCGGGTGGATGTAAGAGATATCAAAGGTACAATTCTGCGTTTGGCCTGTGCTCCCTCTCCCTCTGTGTGTGATGATGAGAGGCATCAGGCTGCAACAAATCTGCAGTCATTGCTCAACCTGCTGCTGCTCACTGCACCTCTGACCCCCTGCTGGACAAACTCTGACACTGCACGCACCGACACAGCCAGTAGAAAGGTTGTTTACTTGGCACAGTATGGAAGTACATGGATGGAGTACCTATAGAGAGGCCAATGGAGGACAAGTTTGTGATGGGAATAGCAACGTCAGTATTAAAGTGTATATGCCAGGTCTTCATGTTTTTTCTGATTATTACGTGGTTAGTAAAGAAAGTACCTGTGGTAAATACTACGGGTGTAACGATATCCAAGTCTCACGATACGATATTGTCACGCTATGAACTTCATGGTACGATATTTACTGTAATATCGTATGAAAGCTCACAATAAGGTTGGGAGGCTCGCGATATTATGATATTATGCATAATAACAAGACTGACATTATAAAATGCTTTGACCAGTCATTTGGTACAACATTTACTGTCATATTCTAGGGATGTAACAATATCCAAGTCTTACTGTACAATATTATCACGATATTCATATTTATTGTGATATTTTGAAGAGGCTAATAATTAAAGATGAGACACTTTTTTGCTTTTAAAATACCTTGACAAGATATTGGTTATTATTTATGGATATTATTTATGTTATAATCCCAAGAATTCAAGTAAAAAACATATTTATTCATGTTGTCTGCACTGAAATGAATCATGGGATATGTCGTTTTCTATGTTTATAAACTGTTGCTACTATAAAATCATGCATTTAAGCAAAGGAACTTGTGATTCGATATATTGTGCCAGCCCACGATATCATTGTGAGACTTTTAACAATACGATATCACCATATTTCGGTATCCCTAGTAAATACGTATCAGTTTTACAAAAACTGAGAACAAATTTACAAAAATACACAAAGTAGTGGTGAGTTCTAAAATGTAATATCTCTACCCATGTTATCATTCAACACAGGAAATTCATCCCAAATGCACAAAGAAGGCATTAGTTTGGCATTAGTCTGGCAGTTTAAACCTTCATTTAACAAAATAAAGATGCTGTCATTAATTTTTATGAGTCTAACCATAACTATTGGACCTTTTTAACGTTACGCTCGTTAAAAGTAATTGAACTACCTCTACGTGTGTCATATCTGCTGTCCATGTCCAACAAGGAAATAAAATAGTACATTTCGAAGATATATTTTTTAGCTAAAATCTTAACTATAAAAAGATGTTGTTGTTTTAGTGAAGTGAGTCATATAATTGGCCATAATATGCAGTTTAAAAGTAAATGTAAGTGCATGCTTCAGTGATCATGGGTATACCCTCATGGACAGAAAGCCAAACAGTGTAATCCCTGTGCTTTTCCACTCGGTGCCCCTCTCCCTTTTGTCCCTCCGTTACCTCTATTGGTTTGTTCTTTTATGTAGCATGTAATTCATCCAAACCTCATTGTCCTTCAAAGTCCATTTGCCTTCCTCTTGTGTCATGTGAAAGACATTTGTGTCAGAGAATGGGAAGGATGTCATTAGAGCTCAAAGGTAAAAGGTATCATCAAAGAAACATGTCTTTGTCATTGGATTCATGTCTTTATCTCTCTCTCTCCCCCTCCCGTACTCTTTCTCTTCCTCTATTTCTCTCTCTCCGCCTTTCCCTACCCCGCTGTCTCTCTGACCCTCTCCTTCTCTCTCTTCCCCTCCCTCTGTCACCCCCTGTGTGTCCCCATCTACCTCATCTCTCTCTCCTCTCTTTCTCTCCCTCTCCTGGTCCGCTACATCTCTCTACCTCTTTTCTATCTCTCTCTCAACCACCACCCCCACCCCCTTTCTCTCTCCCTGTCCTTCACTCTCTGCCCCCTTTCTCTCTGGTTACCCTGTTCTATTTCTCTCTGTCCCTGTTCCTTGCTCCCTTACTTTCTCTCCCTCTGTCTCACTTCCTCCCTCTCTCCCACATCCTTTCTCTGCCTCCCCCTTCTTCTCACTTCCTCTCTCTCTCTCACCCCCTCTTCCCTCTCTATCCCTCCACCCCCTCTCTCTCGCTCCATCACCCTCTCTGTTTCTGTCTCTCTCTTCCGCTACCCCCCTCTCTCTCCCATTATCCCCTTCTCTCCCCAATTACCCTCTCTCTTTCTCCCTCTACCCCGTCTCTAATCTCTCCCAGGCCCCCCGCAAGCCTCTCGCCCCACGTTCTCTCGCTCCATCTCAGTGACGGACGAGCTTTCACTGAAGAAGATGGGAGTGCCGACCGCAGTCATGCCTGACTCCGCCCCCTCAACGCCGCACGGCCACGGTCGCCTCAACTCTACACCTGAATGAGTCTCCTACAGCGCAAGGACACCTATAGAAGACACTGGACAATTCGATACTGTGACTATCTTGGTTTTCTACGCTAAAAATCTCTTCAAAAATGGTCACGTCAGTTACTTTTTCCCCATACACATATACACTGATACTGGTCAGCTAAAACTGCATACTTTTAGTACTTTTACAAGACAAATGGGTCTGGAATTTCAGATGGCCGTGATTGACAAACATGGCAGCAAACAAAAGGATGAGATGGATTTCAGCAGAATGAATAAGCAAAGCACTAAACTCTTATATATCTGAGGTTAAAGAGCTATTTATTTTGTTTTAAATTATGCAATATTTTTAAAGTTACCATCTGTAAGTTTATTTGTTTTGTTTTTACCCGTAGCTGGATGTTAAGCTCGGCTAATGGAGACTCTAATAATAAGCTAAACGAAACTCCGCCAATGCAGCCAGGTGTTTAATGGTCTCGAATTAGGGCAGAGGCTGGTGATGTCACAGGCCTCCTCAAATCTATTGGCCATTGGAAGCAGCACACACATAGATTTGGCCATTTCTGGACCACACATCTGCAAATGAACATAGTTAGCACTAAAATGGTAAAAAAAATAAAAATAATAACTCGAAACAGCAGACAATGCCATTAAAAACCCATAGAGTAGTAATGTTGATTTAGTGTTTAGTTGCACTTTAATTTGCCAACAAAATGATATTACGTTGAAACAAACATATCATTACCATTTTTGCCACATCATCCGCCTATATTCAAAATGGTATTAGGGATGGGCATTCGATTAAATTTTCTTAATCAATCGTTGGGAGAATTAACGATTGATTTTCAATTAATCATTAACGTTTTTATATTCAAAATTGTCATCATTATTACTACTATTACCAATCTGCATAAATAAACTCAACTTTACAACATATAAACCATAACCACTATAGAGCCACATCCGCCCATTTGAAATTATGATGTGTTAAATGCAGTTTTGTGCACATTTGTTTACAGAAACTAAACTTAAACCTCATGGCTAATTTGCATAAAATACGAGTGCTGATAAAAATAGCTCTCTCCCTGTGCGCTGATGCGGTCCAGCTTCTGTCTGACTAAAGGACACGACTCAGTGGAATATGAGTGTTCTTTCTGTTACAGAGGGATGATGATGTTGATGGTGAGTCTGTTCCGTGTGTGTGGGGGCAGGTTTAGCGCAGCTCTTTATTTAACAGTCATTTCCCTCACTTTTTTTATTTTGGCTACTGTTGTGATGAAAAGACTGAAAAGTGTTTGTTTTTCTGATGCATGGGCATTCAACTTTATGTGGTAGTAAACAGGATACTGCATTTACATGCACCATGACGAAACCGGAATACTCAAAAAAACCCGTTCATAACCGGGACACTCATGTGCATGTAAACGCACTCACTGAGTGGTACAGTGATCTCCAAGGAGGAGCTAGAGCTGAAACATGGCCACATCTCCAGTGTTTGCGCTGTCAGACGCAGCCTCGTCTCCTTACGCTAAGCGACGCACAGTAACCTACATTCAGTTTGTCGATTAAACATGAACATGATCGACAAAATTTTTAATGATAAATTATCGATTAGACGACTAATCATGCCCGTCCCTAAATGGTATGAATCATATTATTTTATTATTCTTATGTAAATGATCTAAACGCTGTTCATTGATTCAACTGTAACACATGTTAAGCTGTTGCCTTCAAAGAACCTCCCAGAGTCCTCAGTATTCACCCGTTTTGAACTCACTTTTGTTGTCAGCTCCGAGGTGACCACCAGCAGTGCTTCACAGCCCCCGAGCGAGCAGCATGCAGCCCCCTACAGACAGATGCATAAGGGGTTTAATAGAGTGGATCTAATGAGAGCGAGGGAAGAGGAGAGGAGAGGAGGGAGGGGGAGCAGTCGATGCCATAGATCTGCAGACCCTCTCCACCTCGGCCGATAGGTCAAAACCAGGTGTATTGACAAATCCCACTGAGGCGTTGTATTGGCTGCATGATCGTGGAGCTCAGAGACTCAAATGGGTCCGCCCTGGGCTAAACTTCAATTATTATTCAATGACACGACCATTATCTGCTAAACAGATGTAAATACTGTGTTTTTATACAGTGTGGAAATAGCAATGTAAATAGTGGAATAAATCAAATATGGTGGAAGCAGTTTTTTTTTTTTTTTTAGATTTTGTACAGTCTTTTCTAAGAGCAAAAATAAATATCTGTTTCAAATGAGCTTGCCTACTGTGTGATATGTGCGCAGATAAGCCAATAAAATGCCTCACACACATTATCAGCCTTGTTTGATCCGTATTGACCTGCGGAGAGTGACCAGCTGTTGGCACGCCACAGAGCTCGTGTAATCTACTCACCAATTTCACACTTGTGCCATTTGGAAAGACTCCGACCGACGGGCAGCGGACACTCAAAATCTGCACTATGTTATTTCAGCACAAGAATATCATAACAGATGTTAGCTACTGGTCGATTAGCTAATTAGTCAACCAAAATATGTAAGGTGTTGTATTATGTGAATGTCAACGAGATATATTGGATAGTAAGTATGTAGTAAAGCAGTAGTAAATGAACCACAGGTAAAAGGGGACGATGCAAGTTAGCTGCCATTTAGGAATCATTTTGTGTTGACCATTGTATTGTATTACTGTATTTATGTGGTCCTGTGAGTACATTTTGGGTCAGACAGCTTGCCAGATCTCTAATGAAAAAGTTAAATATTTTTTTGTCATTTGTTTCAAAAAGTCATATATATTATCCATACAGTATATTGTATAGACTCATGACAAGCCTTTGTTTCTTATAAAAGTGAAAAAATGCATAGTACACTCAGATGGCCGATGTCCAAAACCTTTTTTTCTTTTTAAATAATGTTTCGGCACAGTGCACTCTGGTCCAAAACAAGAAAAATATTTGAAGAAGGCTTGTGTTTTTCACTTTTATATTGCTGTTCCTTGCATTTGCACCTCTACAAGAACTTTGGTGTGTGTTTTCTGATTCATTTGAAGCCTTTATTTCTTAAAATTTTGATGATCATGGCTTGCAGATAATATTAAACCTTTTCATGATATTCTAATAATTGGAGCTAGACTGTACTCTACTTAAAATTCCAACTCAATTTAGGTCTTAAAAGAGTTCTGATCTAAAACTAATTGGGATTCTCCCTTTTTTCCAGGATCAATACTTATGCAAATGAGTGTCTCATTTTGACACAGTTTTCGTATTGATCAGTGTCTGGGTATGGATTTATTTGACAGCCTTTGAGGTATTTAGTAGTTTTTGGATCTCCTATCCAAACCACACTATTAGGGCTGTAGTCCTTCAGTCATTTACTCAATTAACAGGTCGATGGCATCTCAGTCAACCACATTTTTATTTTATTTGGCATATAAGAATTTACTAGTAAAGCAAGAGGAGAAAACATAGGGTAAGTTAGCTGGAATTTTGTTAGTGTCCTGACAGTTTAATTTGCCTTTTCAGTTGCTGTCTAGTACTTCTCTGTATATAGATTTTGCTTGAGATCCTAATAATTTTGAGAGCTTTTACCAGCACCACAGCATGCCCCCTTTTAGCCAATAATCCATATATAGGATTGTCTTAAGTCAACCAACCATACACACTAGAGCCCGACCGATATGGATTTTGCTGTGGCCGATATGAAACCGATATAATGGGAGTTGGCGCTGCCGATAGCCGATATAATCGCCGATATATTTAGTGATGTAAAAATTCACTGTAAATGTTGAATTGTTTAAAAAACTTAGGTTTGGCTCTGGTGGATTTTAAATTGGGTTTATTTAGGCAACATTTATTGTTATTCTGCCTCTTTACATCATATTTACAGACAGTAGGTTGGCTTAATGGCATTTTTGCATCACATTCTAGACACTAGTGATGGGTATTCCAGTTTCTTTTTAGAGAACCGGCTCTTTTGGCTCGGCTCACTAAAAGCTGCTGGTTCTTTTGGCTCCCAAGCGGCTCTTCAGATTGTTTTGTTGCAAGCAGGACTAAAGCAGGACTGAATCAGGACTGAACCAGGTCTAAACCAGGACTGAAAAAGGACTAAACCCGGGATTTATTTATTTTATGCTAAACTACAGCCAAATATGCTAGTTTTTTTGTTTTGTTTTTTAATCCTATGTACACGCAAATTTCTCAAAGTTTCGTTTTCAGCCGCTGTCAAACTACCACGAGTCTGCACGCGGCGTGACGACAAAAAAAAGTGAGAGAAAGAGAAAACACGGCTCCCAATAAGGATCAGTCTCCCGTCGTTCGCTTCAAAGAGCCGGATCTAAGAGTCATTTCGTTCGCGACGGACCCATAACTAGTAAAGAAAGTAGCGCTATTAGCCTTTAGCCGTAAATACGTGCGCGCCGCGGTAATTAATTATATGCGCAAATGTCATAATTCACACATCTATTCACAGCTCATTTACATATCAATGCAGGTCCAGTAGCAAATATACGGCCAATGTAGTCACTTTAGAACAGACCAATAGAAAACAGTCTGTTTATGTGCGGGAGCTACAGCAGCTAACCCATAACAAATCACCAAAACTAGCTTCAAAGTCGACATATTTCCAACACTCACCGCTCACACAGGCTCCTCCTCACATCACAAGTCTGCACTAATAAATGTCCTTTTAATCTAGACTCAAACCGATTGTTGAAGAATATAATCTCAATGTTTGGATCTGTGTATGCGGGTGTAAACAAACGCACGTGAGTGACACGACTCTGTGGTGTGTTCAGGGACAGTACGGACGCACACACAGACAAAAGACAAATTACTCCGTAGATAAATACTGATGTGGAGCCACATATTAGGACATTTATCTGTCTGTAAATTGGATTAAATGAACGTAATGTAGAGAATCTAAGATTTTTAAAGACGTATCACATGCCCACGCGAAATATCGGCCCCTATTTGCAAGCATATCGGCCGATAGCCAATATGCCTCCAGGTACCCATATCGGCCGATAATATCGGCCAACCGATATATCGGTCGGGCTCTAATACACACCACACCCCCTTTTAATTATCTAATCATTACACACGACATGTCTTTAGTACGGCTGTAGTCCTTTAGTCAATTAATCAGTTGATGGGGGTCTACCAAAATTTGTGTTAGTTAACCTATCCTTTTAATGAGATTATAATGATTTATATGGTACAAATGTCAAAATTGATTGGGTTAGGTTAAGACCTCCAATTTTAATCTGTCTTTATATGAATACATTGTTTCCTGGTACATTTTTCTGCATAAATAATTCTTTTTGCATTAACTCCTGTACAGTTGTAGTCTTGTGAGTGCACTTCAGGTCAGATACATAAAGATACATAGCCTAATCATTCTGAGAGCTTTTGCCATGCCCCCTTTTTAGATGTAGACAAAGTTTATTGATCCACAAGGGAAATTACTTGGACACAGTAGCTCACAGATTATACTATATTATAATAACAAAAAGTTAAAATGTAAATGGCAATAATAAATTCTAAGTAAGTAGCAAAAAATAAACAAATAAATAACAAGAGACTGGTGTCAAATAAGGCATAATTATATAAAATGTACGAATAAAAATAAAATAGAAA